TCTTGGCTCCTGGACCTTCAACCAGGCAGGAAGCCATCAATGTGAGCCCTGCTTCCCCGCCCTGATGGTGCTCACAACAAGGCAACAGTTGCCAGGGGCAGAGGCTGGAGGCAGGGTTTGGGCGGCAGGGCGGGAGATGGCATGCTTGCAGGGGTGGTGGGGTGCCTTTCTCCAGGGTGGCTGGCTTCCTGTGGGTACCTTTAGGGGTTTGGCTAGCTTCTCGAATCTTCCCAGTTGTGAAACCTGCTTTCAGGGCCTCCAAGGAAGGTGAGGCAGGGCCAATCGGATGATGGATTCTTGCCTGACCCATGACCCTCCAAGGGATGTCTTTCTCCTGGTGGGGATTCCCACGAGGACCACTGGCGGCCTTAAGCCCAGGGCACAGGCCCATGGGACTTTGGAGACGGGTCCTGTGGGACCCCTGTCCCACATTAGCTCTTAATTCCCAATGGGACTCCCTCGTAATGCACCTTCTCTGTGAACCACCTTGTTGGATGAGACCCTCATGTTTCCAGATGCCCCAGTCCAGGATTTGGGAAGCCCTGTTGCCCCTCTCCCCTCTCGCCCACCCATCTGGCAACCTCTTCCTCCCAGGTTGTGTAGTTGCCACACCAGTGTGGCACCAGTGGCCAGGTCCAATGGGGGTCTGGGATTCTGTGTGTCCAAGGATGTGGGCTCTTGAGGTGAAGAGGGAGCAGGGCAGTACTGGGCAATGGACAGAGCTGCTTTTGCCTGGTGTGGGGGCCTTCACCACAGCACCTCTTGTGTCCACACACACTCTATCAACCTGTTGTGCATCCCCTCAGGACCCGGGGAGTCTGAAGAGGACCTCATGGGTGGGTCAGGGAAGAGGCCCAGAGGGGAAGGTGGGTGTACTGAGGGAAGCTCAGGAGAGCAGCTGGGTAGAGGAAGGAAAGGGGGAGTCCGCATGCATGTTGGGGTGGGGGGGCGGTGGAGAGCGACACAGCCCAAGGCATGGCTGGGAGAGGATGCATCGGAAAGATCACGATGAAGGAAAAGCTAAGGAAGAGGAGCAAGGCGACTTCCCTGGCCTGGAGAACGAGGTCATGGGAAGAGCTGGCAGGAAGAGGGAATAGGGGGCGGGGAAGGGGCTACTGCTATGGGGGTTGGGAATCACCAGAGACCCCTGACAAGTAATTTCAGGGGAACGGGACTTCTGGCCAACTTGGAGCAGAGGGCAGCTGCCTGGACGTGGCTATATTTGTCTGCTGTCCTGGGAGGTGTACACAGGCTAGCATTCAGGAGAGAGCAGCCTCGCCAACCTGGGGCCAGGACCCGGGGTTCCAGGCCTCTGTGTATGACCTGCTAGGTGGCCTTGGGCCAACTCCTGCCCCTCTCAGAGCCTCAGTTTCCCCATGTAAGGCCCTTCACTCTAACTTCCCTGACTTGGCAGTTTAGATCTGGCAAGGATTCGCTTTCCAGAGGTGACCTACCGAGGGGGGCTCCATATGGTTTGTCACACATCCTGCTCCAATCCCAGACCCCCTAGCAGTGCACTGGACCAAGCAGGCAGCCAAGGGTCAGAGCCAGGCCGAGGGGGAGCTGGAGTGAGTTGGGCAGCAGGCACCAGAGCCCCCACACATGGTGGGAGGTCAGCCTCCGCAGCTCGCTGACATCAGGGCTGGTGAATGCGGAGGGAGTTCAGCCCTCACCTCCCTCACAGCCTGGCACCGCCGCCTCCGGGCAGGACCTGAGCTCGGGAGAGTGGGGTGGGGAGGGAGCCCAAAAGAGGGCCCCAGAGAGGAGCCCCTAGAGCCCAGGAGCAGCCCAAGCCTCATCCTGGATGTCACAGAGCCAGTTCCTAGGGAGTGCTGGTCCTTGGTCCCGGGCCCCCTCCTCACCCCAGGAATGCCTCCCTCCATGCCTCCATGCATGCTCCCTTCCTTGCCTAATGTTCCTAGACCTCTCCCGCACACTCCTGGTTTGTCTCTTCTCTCTTAGGCTCATCTCCAGCTCCTGACTCAGTGGTCTGGTGAAAGGAGCCAAAGGGATGGTTTCACTCTTGCACCGTCTGCCTGCCTTCCCAGAACCCACAGCGAGCCCCTCTCTGCTGTCCACAGTCCCAACGCCAGCCCCAGATGGAGCCCTGCCCTGCTTCAAAGCAACCAGTCCTGCCCAGACGGTCTCCACTCGGTGGTCCCTGGGCTGCCAGTCTCCACTGTCTATTGCCGCCTCCTCCCCCCTCCCCCCAGGGCCCCTGTCCCAGAGCACCCACAGCCATCATTCTTTGACCCCTGCCCATGCACCCCCCAACCACGCTGCTTGCCCAGGGACAAGCTTGGGCACTCACCCAAGCGCCCCAACACTTCCTTACCGGGGCCTGCGGTGGGTCCTGCAAAGATAGGAGCTGGGGTTTTCTGGCAGGACGTCTGGCTCCTGGGCTCAAACCTTGGGGGGCGGGGTGGGGGGGCTCAGGCTCAGAGTGTTGTGGGGGCAGCCGCTGTCTCCATCAAAGATTCCCCCCAGGGAAAGAATGCAGGAGTGGTTTGGCTCACCCAGGCCAGACGGCTACTTGGAACACACATGCACCCCCACACACACATGCACTTGGAACACACATGCACCCCCACACACACATGCACGTCTTTTGGCACTCAACTTTCTCATGAAATAATTGCTGGAAGGTTCCTTGGATTAGGTAACCCAGTGTTCCTTCCTGTCCCTTTTTGGGGTGGGGGAGAGGGTGGTTCGTGCTCAGCACCTGATCCAGCCCCTTGGGGGCAGTGCTGTCCAGTTCAGGTGACTCTGGGGCACCTGGGAAGTGGAAGTTAACCAAAGCAATCTTCTCAGCCATCTCATTCCACCAGCCAGTCCTTGAGCTGTGTCTGCCCAGCAACTGGGTGGGCTTCCTTCCAGGTGGGCCAGGGAAGAAGGCTCATCAAAAAAGGTTTTTGTTTGTCAATGTTCCCTACAGAAAAGGATGGGATCCTCCCAATGGGGGGAGGAGGAGTTTGATAATGTACAAGGAAACTA